TGCAGATCCCGCCATGTTTAGGGGCCGTGGCGCGGACTCTGTGAGTCGGTGCCACCGCCGAGCCCACTGCGCTGAACGTGCTCGTGCTCGGGGCTGCGCCCCCATGCGGGTCGCCATGCTCCGTTCTCTGGTGAGCGGATGTTGCTGTTCAAAGATTGGACGTCGTCGGCAGGGTGGCGGGGTTCCTGGATTGAGAGCAAGGATGGTGGCCCCGCAGTGCTTGCGCAGCTTGGTGAGCACGTTCCTGTTGACATCCAGACTGATGACATTGGCGGTGACGAGATGGGCCATCTGGGGGCCGCCTTCGCCAGTTGAGCTTGGGTGGCCCCTGGCCTTCCGGCGTTGCCGATGGGCTCGGGCCTGCTGGAGTTGGCCCCCTGCCAGGCTCTCTTTGAAGAGATGGTCGCCCGGGGGCCCCGAAGATTGCGCCCTGGGAAGTTGATGAGAGTTCCCACCTTGAGAAACTGAGGCCGCCTGGCGGGGGCAGGGCGGCGGGCGAGAGAGGGGCGACGCGGCGGCGGCGAGCGCGAGGGCGGCAGCGGTGAACGGCGCGACGCGGGGGGGGGCAATGGCCGGCATCGCCGTCGCGGCAAGCGGAAAGGCGCCCGCCCGTGCAGCTGCGCTCTGGCGCAGCAGCACCCGCGCCCAACGCCGCGCCGACGTCGGCCTGCTTGGCCGCCTCAGCCTTGCCGCCGCTGCCGTCGATGCCGTCGTCGTTGATGTCGTTGAGCACGGCGGCGTGGCTGCCTGCGCCTGGGTCGAAGTCCGCGCCCGTGTCGTCGAGGCAAACGCGTTTGATGGGTCCGTTCCCGGTGGATCTCGGGCGCGCCCCGCGGCTCGCTGGTGCCCTAGCTGGCCGGCCCTGTGCTCGGCGGCTGCAGTCCCCGGGGTGCCGCGGGCCTGGGCTGGCGTGCTGCGCGGAACGTGTGCGGGCGCGATGGCCTCTCTGGTTTCGGGTGCCAGTGTGGGGGGGGCTTTTGGTGCGGCTGCTCCTGCGGCCGTGGGCCCCTCCGTGGCCGGGAGTCCTGCGAGCTTGCTGGGTACTCTGGCCCCCGGGAAACTGGGCTCCCGCGAGCGCGCGCGAGCAAGCCTTTGGATGGGCAGCGCTCGTCGGCGCGGGTCGAGGCCGCAAAAACTGCGCGGCCCAGCGCGGCGCCCGCAAACACTTTGGGCGACGCGCGCTGCCCGACTTTACTGTCGGCCGCGGCCCGCCCCAGCGCGGGCCGTGGTTCAGCTTCGGCAGCCTCAGCGCGCCCGCTGCTGCATCTCTAGCGGCGCACCGAAAACACTTCGGCGCCTGTCCAAAGTGCCTTCGGCGTGCTCTGCGCCGCCCCGAAGGCACTTCCACAGTGCCTTCGGCGCGACGTGGACGCCCATGTCGCCCATGTCGCCCACGTCGCCCATGTCGCCCACGTCGCCCATGTCGCCCACGTCGCCCATGTCGCCCATGTCGCCCATGGCGCGAGCGCGCGCAGCGTTTGCGCGGCGCCAGCCTTGAACGGGCAGTTTTTGCGGCGGCGACTGCGTGGCCAGGGCGTCCCGCTGCAGGGGTCGTTCGGCCGTCCGCGCCGCAGCCGCTGAGCTGGTGCTCGGGCTGTTGCCCACGTGGGTGGCGAGCCCGTTGGCTTGGGCCGCGAAGCTCGGCGCCTCGCTTGGCTGGGCGAGCGGGCTGCCGTCGGGCGCCTTGCCGTGGCCGCCTCCCATCGCCATGGGGTGTCAGCCCCGCCTCGCTGACTCCGAAACGCGGGGGGCCGTGGGTTGGCGACCCTTGTTGGGTGTGCGGCGCTCGTGGCTCGTGCTGTGGTGTTTCGACCGGAGCTGCACTTAAGCTGGCGTCGCTTTGGCCCAATGGCGTTTCACCGTTTCGGTGGCTTTTTCAGGGCTGAGTCGGTCCATCTGTGCCGATCGCTGCCGATCGCTGCTGGTTTGGCCCTCGCGCTGGCTGGTGCCGTTTTGTGCGGCATGTCCTGGGGGTCGCCCTTTGGGCCGCGCCCTTGTTGGCTGCGCTCGGCGCCATTGGGCTGGGCGAGTGTGCCCTCTTCGGTGATCGCGACGGCGAGTCTCAGGGGGTGCTCCCCCTTGTGACTCGTATCGTCTCGGCTCTGGCGGCCTTCGCCTGTCGAGCTGGCTCGTGATTTCTTTTGCTTTTCGAGGCAGGAGGACCACTTGAGCAGTGAGTTGCTGTGCTTCCCCGCCTTCCTTCGAGTGAGCCGTGCTCGTCGCAGTGCTAGCCTCGCCTGGTGGCGGGTGGCTTGGTTGCTTGGGCGTGGACAGTGCTGGCTCTTCGGCCGTTTCATTCTCGTCTGGTGACGGGTGAGCTGGGCGCGACGGCGCAATAATGGCTTTGGCCTTGTTCATGAGCTTTGTCTTGGTTCTTTGCGTTTCCTGCCTGCTGGCTAAGGTTTTCCAGGGCCAGGATGCCGGGGCAGCGGCGCTGCGCCACGCGGGCATGTCTTGTTTGGCAGACCGGGGTGGCCCTGCAAGTGGGTGTCGGGCTTCGTTGTCCACCGGCCGTGTAGCCGTGCACTGCCCGGGTTGTTGTTGGTTCTTGTCAGGACGTCGCGAGAAATTGGAGGTGCAAAGTTCGGCGCGCCATGCGAGTTGGAGAACAGTCCGTTTGGATGCGTCTTTGTGACTTCGTTTGGCTATGAGCTCCGTGGCGTGTCGCGCCTGGACCGTTCTCCTGTGCTCTTCGGCGAGGCTCTGCGGGGCTGTTCCGCGAGCTTCTTGACCGGCGAGGAGGGCGAGGCGAGGAGGAGGTCGGCGACCAGGATGGCGAGGCGAGGGGGGGGCAGGACGATGCGAGAGGGGGGCGGCGAGGCGAGAGCGGCGGCGACGAGGAGGGCGGCGACGAGGCGAGGATGGCGAGGAGTGCGGCTGGTCAGGATGTCATTGTCGTGGTAAGAGGTGGCTGGTCCGCCGGCCTTTAAGAGCGGGCGTTCTGGAGCTGGCAATCAGGGGGGCCAGGTCGAAACGGAACTATTCAGCCCCGGGTCCCTCATGTGACAGGGGGGAGCAATGTCAAACGGGTTACCGTGTATCTCTTGGATGGCCCATCTGAAAGGGTGGGATTCTTGCTAACAAGTGGGAATCGGAGGGGCTGTCTCGCCGATTGCCCGCTCGACGACGGGGATCCCGTTGTCGATTGACCAGATTTTTCTCGTTTTTTTCGCGGCGATTTTGGGCCTTTCTGCCAGGGGGCATTTGGGGTGATAAGTTCAGACGCCGTGAACCGAGGAAATGCAAGCATGGTTGGTCTACGGTCGGACCAACGTATATGATCGAGGTCGGTTCGGGGAGGGTACCCTAGTGGATCCTGGGGAGGGGGTGCCCTCGAGTGTTCTTCGGTTTGGCTGGTGGAGGGTCTCATGTTCTTGAACCATGTTCTTCTGTCCTAGGTCCGGCGGTAAGGCGCGCGGATCAGCGACTGGTCCCGTGTCCATACCAAAGCGGTGCGCTCCGTCGCCAAATCGGGCGACAGTGTCGCCATGTTTCGGGAGTTGGGCTCCCCGATTCTTGGACCTGGCGCTCACGCGCCAGATCCACGGATCCCTAATCCATGTTAGCGCGCACCCGATAGAAGGCTTCAGAGGGGTTGGCGGATATCGAGCAACGCGGTGCAAGTGTTGTAGGTCACCCACTTGTTCCGCCGGCCACTGGCGGGGGGCGTCAGTGCATCTTACGCTACGCATGGCCGCGGCGTTCCTTAGAGGACCACCCACACAGGACGACGACGACGATGACGACGACCGACGATGACGACGACGACGACGACGACGGACGACGACGACGACCGACGACGTTGAAGTCAGGTGCCACGCCGCCCGATTCGGACTTCAAGCGTTTGAGAGACATGACCCAGGAAGAGCTGGACAAGTACATCAAGGGCGAGTGGGATGGCAGGGTCTCGACCTTTGTGGCCAGCCCCGAATCGAGAGGGTCGTGGCTCGAGGTCAGAGGTTTCGAGCGTTTTGACCTTTTTGGACCTCATGGGATGACCTCGTGGTCACGTTTGCTGGACAAGTTCAGGGCCCATTTGGGACCCCAGCCCGAAGGCCTGGTTTTTTAGGGGGGTTGATGGATCCAAGCGTTCTCTCCGATTTGCGGCCTTCGGGCGGACGTCTTCGGGCCCTGGGGCGATTGAAAATAAATATCCTGGATGCGAAGCTGTGCCCAAGGAAGGGTCGGCCACGCGCAGAGGGGGGTAATTAGGGGAAGGGGGGTAGGCTTCTTAGAAGCCTCTCTGCTTCTTAGAAGGCGGGGGTTTTGTCTACAGATGTAGGGCTGGCGCCTTCTAAGAAGAAGCCTCCTTCCAAGAAGCCTTCCCCCCTTCCCCTACCCCCTTGTGCGCGCCGCCAAGAGGGGTCGAGCCTTCTGGGGTCCGCAGGTTGAACTCATCACACCGTCAGGTGTCTGGGAACCCGCCGCCGGAGTATGCCCATGTCCGCCGCCTCGGAGCCGTGGCCCTGGGCCCGCGGGAGTGGCGGGCGTGGACATTTGCCCGCCCCCTGCGGGCTGGAAATGATCATTCGCCCTGAGGGTCTCCATGCAGCACTCCAGAAGTTGTGCACGTGGACGTTTCCCAGCGGTGGAGCGAATGGCCCGGGGCTCTGATGGTCCGCCTACCGTCGAGGCCGATCCGATGTTTCCTGCGGGGTGCCGTGATGCTATTCGCAAGGCCCCTCCGGTGTTCTAGGCCTCTCAAGTGGGGTCCGGGTGGATGGCGTCGAAGGCTGGCGCCGCATCGCCGATGCATCGACGATGCGGCTCGATGTGGAGCCCAATTTTCTCCACGCTGGCGTCGCCTATGCGCCGCCGACGTCGCCGGCGATGTATTGGCGATGTGGCGCGAGCCTCCGACCCTCTCGACTCGGACCCCCTCCGGGAGGCCTCCAAGTGTCGCTCCCGATGGGCCGTGGATCGGGCACCGCTGGCGGTGCTGTGCGCTCGCTCCGCTCTCGCCGATTCCAGGGCAGGCAGGCAGGCAGTCTGGCACCCTCTGTCGGGGCAGGAGCCCGGCCCGGCGCGGGAGCTGCAGGGCGACAATGATGGGCACCGCGGTGCTTCGGTACAGTCGGTCCGGATTAGTAGGTCGACCCTGCCAGCTCAAGGGTAACCTTCTGTCCTGTGCCTCGCGACACGTGCCTTCGTACACTCCTATGGCGATGTGGCCTTCGGAAGGGTCTTGTGTCCTCTCGCGTGTCCTCTCCAATCAAGTCCGACTGTACACTGCGCTCTCCTCGCGAGGGCCTCTTCCGCACGCTCCCGTGCCTCTGATCAAGAGACCTGCCCCCTCGAAAACATGCACGTCCAGGGGCCGAACTCCGCGGCCGCCTCCTGCTCTTCCACCCGTCTCGGTGCCCCGCGCCTGGTGCGCCCCGCCGTTGCGGACCCCCGCGCCGGCGTGCGCCGGCGCTGCCGAGGACCGAGGAGCAGTGTCCTCGACTAGACGTAAGAGTGACCGCAGGAGTGACTTTTGGGTGCGGGCACAGATGGGTCCCCAGATGGCTGAAAACGGAACAGTAGCAGCTGCTTGCGCGCCCAGGTTTGGTCCCCCCGCGGCCCCCCCAAAAGCCGCGCACCAAAGGTCACTCTTACCCAGGGTCACTCTTGCGTATAGCCGGTGTCCGCGCGGCCCCTGCGGCGGAGCGGGAGAAGTCACCGCGCACGGCGGGTGAAGCCTCGCGAGAGTGGGCGCGGGCTGCGTTCGTTCATCTTAGAGACGCCCTGGGTCTGCTGGTGCTGGTTCGTTTGTTTGCTTGCTTGCTCGTTTGTTAGTTTTGTTGTTGTTGCTACTGCTGCTGCTGTTGTTGTTGTTTTGTTGTTGTTGTTGGTGTTGTTGTTGTGGTTGTTGGTTGTTGTTGTTGTTGTTGTTGGTGGTGGTGGTGGTGTTGGTGTTGTTGTTGTTGTTGTTGTTGTTGTTGTTGTTGTTGTTGTTGTTGTTGTTGTTATTATTCTTGGTGTTGTTGTTGTTGTTGGTGGTGTTGTTGCTGTTGTTGTTGTTGTTGTTGTTGTTGTTGTTGTTGTTGTTATTGTTCTTGTTGTTGTTGTTGTTGTTGTTTGTTGTTGTTGTTGTTGTTGTTGTTGGTGTTGGTGTTGTTGTTGTTGTTGAACTCTCATTCTTGAAGAATAATTATTGTTGATCCCCCCCCACCGGTGCACATTGATTTTTTTCGATTGAAGTGCCACCCCCGGGGCTCGCACCTTGTTTTTTCTCAAGGAAAGTCTTCCTGCTCAAACTGTGCCCCTGCCCCCCGGGCTACAACAACAACGGCTCCCGCCTGAGACTTCCTCGATTTTTACTCAGGACCCCCGCTCCCGCCTGAGACTTCCGCGCAATTTACTCAGGAAAGGCGCTCCCGTCTGAGACTTCCTCGCAATGTAATCAAGACCCCCGCTCCCGCCTGAGACTTCCGTGCAATTTACGTGGGAACGGCGCTCCCGCCTGAGATTTCTTTGAATTTTACTCAGGACCCCCGCTCCTGCCTGACATTTCCGCGCAATTGACTCAGGAACGGCGCTCCCGCCTGAGACTTCCTCGCAATTTAGTGAGGACCCCCGCTCCCGCCTGAGACTTCCGTGCAATTTGCTCAGCTCCCGCTTGAGACTTCCTCGCAACTTAGTCAGGGCCCCCGCTTCCGCCCGAGATTTCCTCACAATGTACTCAGGACTGCGCTCTCGCGTGCGACGTCCTCACAAATTATTCTGGAATTGCGTTTCGGCGCTCAGGAACCACGCACGCGCCAAGGACGCCTTCACAACGTGGTATCTTCCCTCTTCCTTCGTCCTTCCCCCTCCCCTTCCTCCCACTCTCCCTCGTTCTTCCCCTCCTCCTCTTGCAGGGCCCGCGCCAATTCCAATGGCGGGCAGAGAGATGTACGCCCCCGAAGGATTGTCCGCCCGTTCCGGTTTGCCCGTACGTCTAAGCCCGCCGGCCCCAGCAAAGAGAAATAATCCCCCCGAAAGGGGTGTGATCGAAGACGAAGAGGGCGGGCATCGAGGGTGTAGGGTATACGTGTTGAATGACTCGCGGGCAAGTAAGAGCGCACAGCCTTAAAATGGTTGTTGTTGTTGTTGTTGCTGTTGTTGTTGGTGGTGGTGGTGGTGATGGTGGTGTTGTGATTGTTGTTAGTGTTGAATATCGAGGACGCCTGCGGCGAATCACCGCCGCCCTCTGCCTTGTGGAATCGCCCATGTGGTCGAGCGTTGTGGCAAGAGCTCCGCCAAGCTATCGGTCCGCCAAGCTATCGGACCATGCGTTCCCCCAGCCGTTGTGGAAACCCGTCGAGGAACGCTTGGGGGAGGATGGCGGGGAAGATCAGGAGGAGGAGGAGGACAAGTGTAAACCCACGAGTCATCAACGATGTTGGCATAAACTCTCCTTCCAAACTCCCTCTTCATAGGCCCCTGCACAGGATAATTTCCACTGAGAGAACCGCCTCGTTGGAAGACAACCGTTTGACGATCCTGCCCTATGCCAGAACATTGCTCTCGGGATTTCAACGCCACGGATCAGCCGGACTTTTTCGTCTTGACGATCCTGAATCGTGCCAGAACGCCATTCTTGGAATTTCAACATCGCGAATCAGCGTAACTGTTGCACCCTCACAAAGAAGCGCGTTCTGTGGCCAGACCCCCCCCTCTTGGATGAAGGGGGGGGGCGGTTCGACCCCCCCCCCTCCTCCCGTACTTCTCCTCTCTCCGTCTCCTCGGGCCGGCGCCTGCGTCAGCGGCGGGTGACGGCGGCGGCGGGGACGGCGACTTCCTTTTCTGAGCCGGCGCCGGCGCCTGCGGCGGCGGGCGGCGGCGGCGGGGAGCGTCGACGAGGACGGTGGTGGTGGTGGTGGTGGGTTGTTGTGGTGGTGGTGGCGGTGGTGCTGGTTGTGGTGGTGGTGGTGTGGTGGTTTGTTGTGGTGGTGGTGGTTGTGGTGTTGGGTGGTGGTGGTGTGGTGGTGGTTTGTGGTGGTGGTGGTGGTTTGTGGTGGTGGTGGTGGGTTGTGGTGGTGGCGGTGGTTTGTGGAGGTGGTGCTGGTGGTGGTGATGGTGGCGGTGGTGGTGGTGGTGTGGTGGTTGATGGTGGTGGTGGTGAGGGGTTGTGCTTCTGGTAGTGGTGGTGCAGGTGGCGGTGGTGGTTCTGGTGGTGTGGTAAATTGTGGTGGTAGAGGTGGTGGTAGTGGTGGTGTTTTTTGTTGTGGTGGTGGTGAGTTGTGGTGGTGGTGGTTGTGGTGGTGGTGGTGGCTGTGGTGGTGGTGGTTGTGTGGTGAGTTGTTGTTGGTGGTGGTGTGTTGAGGTGGTTGTGGTGGTGGTGGTGGTATTGGTGGTAATCGTCGCTGCGTCCCCGCCGTCGCCGGCGCGGGGGAAGGGTGGGGGAGGTTTGTAACTCCTCCCGCCCCCGTTGGGCTGCCTCTGGCCATCGTCGCTCCGTCCCCGCCGTCGGCGCTGCTGGCGGCCGCCAGCACCAGCGCCGGCGCCGGCGCCAGGAGGGGGGTTTGAACGCCCCGCTCCTTGGGACGGGGGGGGGGATTCGCTAGGGGGGGTTGAGGGGGAAGGGGGCCCCCCTGTTTCTGATCGGCGGCGCCGAGTGTTGGGGGGGGGGAGCCCGTTCCCCGGTTCGAAACGCGCCGCCGATCGTTCCCAAGGCGAGCGCCTGTGAAACGCGATCTCTCCACCTCAGAATCCGGAATCCTTCCAGGACGCTATTTCTGGTACGCTGACCATGGGACACAGTGAAACTCCTGCGATTTTTAAAAGCGAGTGTACGCGGCGCTATGACGAGAGCCACATTTGTAAAGCGGCCCGCCCTCAACCCGTGAAGTTTTGCAAATTTTAAAACGAAAGTATGTGGCGACAAGGCGAGAAGCACTTTTTGAAAAGGGGTCGCCCCCAATCTGTGAAACTTTTGCAAGTTTTGAAATCGAACGTGAGCGGCTCTAAAGAGAGAGCCGCATCTTTGAAACGACCCGCCCTCCATCTGCGAAGTGGTTGCCGGGACAAATGGTGAGGAACTGTCAGGCGAAACGCCTCTGGCCCGCCCGAAACACTGGCTTCGGGGTGCGACAGGGAGAAGTTATTCAATCGCTTCACTCATTCCGCCAGCTCGTACTGTCACATCGCAGGCGTTTGCCTGCGCGTTCGTGGCCTCTTGGGGCCTTTGGGGGGCCGTTTTGGTGGGGGCCTTTTGTTTTTTTTTTGGGGGGGGGGCTTTTTAGGGGCCTCGTCGGGCCTCCAGGGGGCCTCCTGGGCTCTCTTGGGGGCCTCTGGGGGCCTCCTGGGGGCCTGGGGGCGGAAGGCTCGAGTTGGTGGTTCGTGTTCGTCCTTTTGGGCCCCTCTTGGGGCTGTCTTGGGCCGTCTTGGGCGCCTCTTGTTGGGCTCTCTTGGGCCCATCTTGGGGGCGTGTTGGGCCGTCTGGGGGCGATGTGGGAGGTCTCTGGGGCAGTTCTGAACGTTTTGAACCCCAAACGTCGCAGATGCGAAACATGTACGTTCCCCGAAGGGAATGTGACGACTTTTGTTTGTGGGGGCCCTCTTGGAAAACCTCTTGAGGCTCGCTCAAGGCTTTTTCGCGACCGCCTGCGGCCATCTGGAGACCATCTTGAGCGTCTTGGAGCGATCTTTCGGCGACTCGGGGCCTTTTGGGCCGTGTGGGGGGCGCCCTGGCGTCCTCTTGGCGCGGTCCTGGAGCGCCCTGGGGTAGTCGGCTGGGGTACTCTTCGCCCAGGGGTCCCCAGGGGCCGCCACGCGCGCGCGAAATAGACATTTCCAACCTGTTACTTGTGATCTTAGCACACCTGTGGCCCGTTGGGTCGGCGAGTTCATAAGGAAAAGGGATGGAGGAGGGGGCATCTTGGGAGCCTTTGGGGGCACTCTTGGGGTTTCCTGGGAGCTTCCTGGGGGCCTTTTGGAGACATGGCCTCCGTGGGCCTCTTGGGGGAACTTGGGGCTTCTCGGGGGCCTCTTTGGCCGTCTTAGGGCACTCGTGGCTTGCCTGACGCCGTCGACAGCCGTCTTGGGGGTCTCTCTGGGCAGACTAAGGGTCTTCTTGGGGTGCTCCATGCCGTCTTGGAGGCCATCTTGGGCGTCCTGGAGGCCTCTTGGGCCGTCTTGGGGTCCTCTTGGGGCCGTCTTGGGGGCCTCTTGGGCCGCTCCGGGGCCATCTTGGATGCCTCTTGGGCGATCTTGGGTGGATCTTTGGGGGCTCTTGGGCCGTCTCGAGCCGTCGGAAGACCGAAAGTAAGCAGATGCCCAAATCCTTCAACAACCCATAGACACACCAGTAATTTGGGCCTCTTCGGTCCTTCCTGCGGCCTTCTTGGAGGCTCCTTGTGCTGTCTTGGAGACCTCTCGGGGGCCTCTTGGGCCGTCTTGGCCAAACTCTTTCAAAAACCTAGGGACATCAATGATTTTGGCCTCGTCGGGCCTTCCTGGAGGTCCTCTCGGAGGCCCCTTGGGGGCCTCCTGGGCCCTCTTTTGCAAAAGTCCCGCTAGATGCCCTGAGATGAATCCTTGGATGCTGCTCTCCTTTTCTCTCCTGTCAACGTGTTGGTCTCACTGAGGCTGCTCTCGGGGATGTGCGGGCAGGGGGGAGCGCGAGGCTGCTCGCGCGCTGGTGATAGAAGGGAGTGGTGTTTGTGGTTGCGGGCCAGCTCGCAGTCTTGCGCCTCGAAGGCGCACACCAGAAGTCCAGCGACCCTCGGTCGCTGTAAAAGGCTTGAGCCAAGACGGTTTCGGAAGAAACATCTGGAAACATGCGAAACATCTAGAATGGGCCTCTCGGGCTTGGGGCTCTACGAGGTCTCTCGGGAGACCATCGAGCATGGCTAGGCTGCAAACGGAGTGGGGAACACGCTGCGCCGTGGAACGCGGAAAAACGTGAAACTGGGGCTCCTGGTGAGCCCTGATCTGTATGTAGGTGCGATCCTACACTCGGCATCTACAGGCCATTTCTCGTAAGCAGATTCTAGGCAGGCAAGCTCTGGGCGGTGACTTGCATGCCCAAAGGTTAAAGTTCGATGTTGCGACATGGAGACCTGTTCTTGACTCCAGAATTCACAGAAAACGCAGAGCTTGGGAGCGGCTTCATCGTGCCCCACAGGGCAATGCTTCCGACAGGGGACATATGCTCGTAGGGATTGTCGCGGGCGAAGTAGACTAGGGCTTCCAGCATCGCATCTCCATCGTTGTCGGATAGGGGTTTGCCATGGTCGAGCTTGTCCAGGCTCTCGGTCTTGCGTGTCCTAGCACTGCGCTGGAGAGGATCATCTACCAATCTCCAGCGCTATTCAGATCTGAAGAACTCCAGTTAGCTGCACGATCCTTGGTCAATCCGTCGGCTAGCATAGCGTCACTGTGTACCCACCGAATCTGGAGGGCCGTCTGCTCCTTCTGCCCAATGGGCTGGTGGGAACGGCACCGTGGCCAGTGCCTCGGAGCTGTGCGCACGACCATGCTACCGCACTCGTGACTCACCAGTTTCTCCGGCTGTTCTGATGGTGGGCCAACATGTGGTCTGGGGTGCTCAAAGAGACGCTGATTGTCTGGGCCGGGAATTGGAACAATTCTCAAGCCATGCCCTTCGGTGCTCTGCGCCGACCTTTGAGCGGTGCCTTGCCAGGTGCCTCGTGCCCACGTTGATGCCTTTTTTCCTGTCCCCCTGCTCTCAGTGCACCGCTCCAGGTCTTCCCTGCCAGGGCGCAGCTCTTGAGGCCGCTGGCCCGTCACCTCCGTGAGGCCTTGCCATCGCAGGAGCTCGGGCTCTGGCAAGCGTGCCTCCCGCTCTTGCCTTCCGAGGCGACGACGACGGTGGCCGTGCCTGTGGCGGAGAAGGAGGCGCAGGCGGTGCTGGCGCCAGAGGAGGCCTCGCCGGCGGGCGCCCCCGTGGAGGAGCCGACGGTGGCGAACCCGTCAGAGGAGGAGGCGCAGGCGCAGGCTCGAGCACTGCTTCGCACCAGAGGCTTTCGCAGCTTGGAGCACCAGTCAGCACCTAGCTGCTTGTGTTGAGTCCCGCCAGTCGTTGCCTCGGGGCGCGAATGCGGTGTAATTTACGCGGGATCGTGGCTTCGAGGACGCGAGCGTGGCGTAATCTACAAGGGATCGTGGCCTCGGGGGCGCAAGTGCGGAGCAATTTACGAGGGATCGTGGGAGGCGCGAGTATGGTGTATTTTACAATGGATCGTGGCTTCGGGGACGCGAGCGTGGCGCAATTCACGAGGGATCGTGGTTTCGGGGGCGCGAATACAGCGTACTTTACGGTGGATTATTGCGTCGGGAGCGCGAATATCGCGTGTATGGTCACGTGTCCCGCGGCCCCGCAGGAATTCAGAGAACGCGATTCGGGGGTGGTAACCGGGCCGGTTTTGGGTCCCCCTCTTCGCGCGGATGGCAACAATTTACACTAGGAGGCAGAACGCAGGATTGTAACATTGGAGATTTGAAATTGCAACTGGTGCAGGGAGCAGCAAGCCTAAATAGTGAGGGCGCGAGTGGTCATACATTCTCTACGCTTTCGAGCGGGGGGGTAATCTTAACCGGGCCCCCCCTGGAACTCCCTGGGAACCACAGTCTTCGAGATCAAAAGGACAATATTTCTTTGCGATCCGTTTACAGTTGCGATTGCGACCAGAAGATGGGGAGGGTGGGATCTGACCCAGGACCCCCCCGGGACCTCCCTGGACCCTTGGTGGGAAAGGATTAGAGGGTAAGGGACCAAAAGACGGAGGGGTTGGGGGCGGGAATTCCCCCGGGGTTTCCTCAAGTTCCTGGTCCCCCCCTCTGGGTTGGGAAAGGATCAAAGGGAAGTGGTGTTCTTTCGATCTAACTACGATTGCGATTGCGATTGCGATTGCGACCAGAAGAGGGGGAGGGTATAATCTGACCCGGGGCCCCCAAGGACATCCCCAGGACACCAGTCCCTTCTGGGTGGGGAGGGAATCGTAGGGAAAGGGTCAAGCACGGTTACGATTGCGACCAAAAGAGTGGGAGGGTGTAATCTGACCCAGGCCCCTCCCCGGGATCTGCCTGGAACACTGGTCCTGTCATTTGGGTGAGGAAGGGATCAAAGGGTAAGGGGCTTCATTTCGATCTAGCTGCGACTGCGACTGCGACCAGAAGGGGGGTGGTCCAGGACCCCACCTGTGGTTTCCCCAGCTCCCCGGTAATTGCCCCCCGTGGCTGCGGAAGGGATCAAAAGGAAGGGGCTTCCCCTGGATCGAACTGCGGCCACGATCACGACCAGAAGCGGGGGAGGGTGCAATCTGACCCCGGGAGCCGCCCCGGGACCTCCCGGGGGCCACAGCCCCCCTGCCCGGTGGGGAGGAGATCAACAGGAATGACGAACCAACAACACACACCCATACCCATAGGGGGATCGGAGAGGGCTATGGGTGCGTGTTGTCGGATGGGGGTCCCCGCTCGAACGGGAGCGTTCCACAGGGTCCCGCAACCCGCACCCATACCCATAGCCAGTCCTCCTCCCAACGACCTCCTTATGGGTATGGGTGTGTGTTGTTCGTTCGTCAAGGAAGGGGCCTCCCTCCGATCTCATTGCGTCTGCGGCTGCGACCTGGGCCTGTTCGCTTCCAACCGACGCGCTCGGCGCGCCATAGAGGGTCTGGCGTTAAGACGGGCCTGTCCCTCTACAGGAGGAGTGTTCAAAAATAGTTTAAGAACGATCAGGGGACTATTTTTTTAATTCTTTTCGGGGGTATGTTGGAGTATGTTTTTTGAGGATTTTTTATTTTTCGTCGAGAATCCTCATGTAGGGGGACAGGCCCGACTTACGTCTAGCGAGATACTCCGGGAACGGAAGGGGAAACGGCATGAAATGTCTTCACCGAGGACCGCCAGGGGACGGACCCCAGGTTCCCCTCGCTCGCGCCGACAGGGTTGGCGGATTCTAGCAGACGGAGTCCTGCGGATAGCCTCTACACCCGCTCTTCTCTGCACTACTACTTTACTGGACGCTACTTCTTCTCTACTCTGTTCTGTTCTATTCTACTCTACTCTACTCTACTCTACTTATACTCTAGTCTATTATACTCCTACTCTACTCCTAATATACTTTGCTCTACTCTACTGCTTTTCTACTCTACCGTTACTCTACTCTACTCTACTCTAATCTACTCTACTCTACTCTATTCCACTCTACTCAACTCTACTCTACTACAGCAGAGGACGCCATGCGGACAGTTTGGATGAGGCCATGGGGATAGCAGAGGAAGCCATGCGGATAGTTGGACGAATGTAGGGGCAACACAGGAGGGGGGGGGAACAGCGGACGAGTCCTCTAGGACTCCGATAGCCAAGCCTATTTTGAGAAAACCTTGACACAATATTGTGGCCTCTTCGCGAGCTGCTGGACGTGTCTTGATGACATCTTGGGCTGCCTTTGGGCCATCTCGCGTCGTCTTGGGAGGCATTTTGAATTATTTTGGCGGCATTGATTGCCTGCCTCGGCCATCCTTGAAGCTCGGGATTGTGGACCCGGGAACGCATTGTTTTGTACGAGGGACCGTTGCTTCGGGAGTGGGGACGATGCACGCGAAACTGCCAGTAGAGGTGGGGACCAGAAACAGGTACTCTATCAGGCAGCCCTTGGCGTTCTACCACGCCGCCCGCCTCCACGTGGGCACGGCGGCGGATGAGACGTAGGCGATCTGGTCGTCAGGTTCAGCGAGCGGGGTTTCTGAACTTTCTGGGTCACCGTGGTTCGCATGAGTTGTTCTTCCTCGTTCCGCTCGTTTTTGATGGAACTCGTTCGTCCCTACGGGAGGCGTGGATGGGGGCCATCACACGTAACACGCTGTATGCTGAGCCCTGTGAACATAGTATTCGTGCAGCATTTGGGCCCCCTCTCACTACAAGCTTCAGGAGCGCGCGCGCAGTCATGTCCAGCACAGCGGGATGTGTGCTCCTGGTAATTCAGTGTGTGTATGTGTTTGCATGCCGAGTGAGTATCGCGCATCTTCTATTCAGAGGTCAAGCAACATCATATTTTCAGTGACCGTCATGCATCAGACGATTCGATGTTGCCACCGCCTGCGTCGCTGCGAGGGCGGAGAAGCATGCGCGTGGGGAGAAGAGCTTGCTCATGCATGGCGCCCTAGTTCATGATCTGCTCTGGGCAAGTCTCACTGGGCCTGCATTCGTGATCTATACGCCGATCCTGAACCTGAGTGCATGATTTGTACCAGGTCTGTGTTCTTTTGGCTGGGAGGCACCTGCGACCAGAGAAGAGGCCAAGCCAATTGCTGACGCTTCGCATATCTCCACCCACTCCATTCAGACACGATGCCCATGAGAGTTGATGGGAAACTGGAGGAAGAGACCTCAGACAAATCAATGATTTTGGTCTCTTGCGGTTCTCTTGGGAGGCCTCTTGGAGGCCTCTTTGGGCGTCTTGAAGGCCTCTTGGGCCGTCTGGGGGCCATCTTGAGCGTCTTCGAGCGATCGTTCGGCAACTCGGGGCCCTTTTGGAACGTCTTGGGGGCTTCTTTGGGCCCTCTTGGCCCGTCTTGGGGCCCTCTTGGGCCCGAAACAGTCAGGAGACAAGACGCGGGGGAACCGCGGGGGAAACGCGGGCCGCCCCAGAAGGTTAGACCGGGCTCCGAACCCCTAAGAACTCCGAACACCTGAAGAAATCCTCAGGAGTGAGGACTGAGGCTCAGAGGGGAAGCGAGAGGACCCGAGGACACGCCCACGCCGTGCCCGGCGGCTCGGTGGCGGATGAGTGAAAATGTTGGAGGGGGATGACGAGGGAAGCAGGAATGAGGAGCCGGGTGAGGATGAGGATGAAGAGGAGGAGAAGGAGAAGGAGGAGCTGGAGGAGGAGGAGGAGGAGGAGGACGACACTTTCGCGGGCATTCTGTTTTGAGAGCATCTTGAATGACTCTGGGAGCCATCGTGGGGTCTTCTTCGGGTTCTCTTGGGGTCCTCTTGGGGATTTTTAACGGCCCTCTCGGGGTTCTGTTCGAGAGTCATGGATCCATCTTGGAGATCTTCAGTGGGCTTTCGACTTTCTTGGGTTTCAGTTGGGTTGGTCTTGGAGCCCTCTTTCGGGTTTCTTGGGGCCCTCTTGGTTGAAGGCGGTCAGAGTGGCCTCTTGGGGCCCTCCGTGGGCGCTCCTGGAGCGACGTTGTGCGCTCTTGGGGCCGTCCTGCGGCCTTCTTGGGCTCCTCTCGGGGCTTTATTGGGTCATCTTGAAAACCCTCTTGAGACCTCACGGGCCCATCTTGATCCAAAGAGCGAGAAAGCACCGGAGGGATCCCGAGAGCACTTGGAGCCGTCTTGCGGCGCTCTTGGGGCCTGAACGATCTTGGAGACCCTCTTGGACTATCCAGGGCCGTCTTGGAGTTATTGCGAAGGCCTTACGGCCGTTGCCGCCGACCCTGAAGATGACGAAAGACAACACGAGGGGGGGGGGCAGGAGGAGGAGGAGGAGGAGGCGGAAGGGAGTAGGAGGAGGAAGGGTGAAGGGGGAGGAGGAGGAGGCCTTATGGATGTTGGTTGGGATCTCGTGGTTGACCTCTCGGGGGCGTCTGGAAGGCAACTTGAAGCCTCTTGGGGGCCGTTGTGGGTCCTCTTGGGCCTCTTTTGGGCCTCTTGGGGCTTCCGGAGGCCGTCTTCGGCGCATCTTGGGGGCGTCTTGGCGCCGCTCGGGGGCCTCTTGGGGCCTTTTGGGGGCCTCTTATGGCTTCCCGGGGGCCTCTTAGGGCGGAAGTCTCGAATTCTCGGTTCCTCGTCCCCCTCTTGGCCGTTTCTTGGGCCCGTCTTGGGGCCCTATTGGGCCGTCGTGGGCGCCTCTTAGGCTGTCCTGGGGCCTTCTTGGGCCGTCTTGGGGCCCTCTTGTAGGCCTCTTGGGGCGCTCTTGGGGGCCTCTTGGGGGCCTCTTGGGCCGTCTTGGAGTGTCGGAAAGCCGAAAAGGCGAGAAGGCCAAAATCATTCAAAAACCGATGTAAAATTGACGATTTTGGCGCCTGGGGCCCTCTTGGGTGTGCTCTTGGGGCTCTCTTGGAGCGTCTTGAGGGCCTCTTGGGCCGTCTTCGGGCCGTCTTGGGCGTCTTGGGGCCATCGTTCGTCGAGTCGAGGCCCTCTTGTACCCTTTTGGGGGTGTCTTCTGTCGCTCTTGGCTCGTCTTGAAGCTTTTCTGAGCTCCGGGACCCCCCGGGGAGGATGCGTATCTGGGTGGCGACCCCCCCCGGCGACCCCCCCCGGCGACCCCCCCCCCCACCCCCCCCCCACCCCCGGCGGGGAGGGTAGGGAGGGGCTTCGCCACGACTCAACTACGACGTTGCTCAATGTCGCTTTGGCTCGCGCGCTCAAGGAGACGGGGAACGACGAAGACGACGAGGGACAACGGAGACGGAGACGACGAGGACACGACGGAGACGACGACGACGACGACGACGACGACGACGACGACGACGACGACGACGACGACGACGACGACGACGACGACGGTGATCCACGCAAGACGACGACACCGGGATGCGTCTTCCACACGCCGACAGGGTCGGCGGATCTTTGGCCCAAAAGGATCCTCTGACGTCTCCGTCCCCCGCTACTCTAGACCCCTGGGAGTGGGTAGGGGGAGGGGTCAAGCTACCCACCTCGCGCGCAAGACGTCTAGCTCACTCTCTCCCGCCCCCCAACACACAAGTAACACCCGAGCCTGAGCATGTTCAGCGGTCGTCTTTGAATGGACAGCCACTTGGAACCAAAGCCGAGCCCAGATGCGTGATGCTTGGGCGAGGTGCGCCACGCGTGCCAGGGGCGCAACGCGCGCAAGGCACCCCTGGGGCCCGAGCGTGCCAGGCACGCCTGGTGCGCCAGATGCGCCACGTGCTCTGGGGGAGGGGTAAACCTTATCCTGAGGGAGAAGGGGTTTTTGAGTAGGGGAAAACGACCTTCTCAGACCACCCACGCCCAGAGGTCTTGTGGGATTTCACATTTCAACAGCCTCCTAGACAGGCCCAGATGGAGGCAGAGGTGGCGAAGGTCTTGGCTGATGCGGAGCCCCAGGTCGCGACCACCGCCGCTGCTCAAGGTGAGGCGCCGGCGATGGAGGCAGAGGCGACGAAGGACACGGCTGATGCGGTGCCCCAGGTCGAGACCACCGTCGCTGCTCAGGATGAGGCGCCGGCGGCGATGGAGGCAGAGGCGACGAAGGACATGGCCGATTCGGAGCCCCAGTCTGAGACCAACACCGTCGCTGCTCAAGGTGAGGCGCCGGAGATGGAGGCAGAGTCGACGAAGAACACGGCCGATGCGGAACCCCAGGTCGAGACCACGGCCTCTGTTCAGGATGAGGCGTCGGCGAAGGAGGCAGAGGCGACCAAGGACACGGCCGATGTGGGGCCCCATACTGAGACCAACACCGCCTCCCAGGACGAGGCGCCAGCAACGGAGGTACGCGACTCAAGGGCGACCGAGCCTGATCCGACGACGAAGGACCTGCAGACCGACGCGGAGGACGAGATTGATTCCGTCGCTGCTCAGGAGGCGGCGGCAGAGGTGGTGACGACGTCTGAGGATACCGGAGCGCAGCTATCAATTCGTCTTTCGTGCTCGCCTTCTGCGTCGGGCCTTCTCCTCCGAGCAGTGATTTCTCTGAGGGGCACCCCCGCTGCCAGGTTTTTGCCCTCGTTCGAATGCAACTCCTGGGAGGTCAAATTCTGATTTTGCCCTGGTCCGAAATCTGGCTTGATCCAGCTCAATCCCTTTTAATCCAGCTTAATGCCGCTGAATCCCGCCTCATCCGGCTTTATGCTGCTTAGTCCGAGGCCCACTCCGGCGTGACAGCTCCCCAAGGGGGCTCACTCCTCTTCAATCTTTCCGACGAAAACCTCCCAGTAGTTGCCTCCTGACCCTCGGTCGGGCTGTCCCTCGCTGTCCCCTTGCCCGCCGTCGCCACCGGCCGTGCTCCCCCCCGGAGCGAAAGAAGGACGTACACGTACATGAATCCACGCTGGTTTCGAGAGCACGCATTGCCCGAATGTTCGTATTACGCGGCCACTCTCGCGGATCGAGGGGCCGTGTTCATGTACATAGCTAGGCGCGTACGTCCTTTGTGGGCTCCCTCCCCCCCCGCCTCCTGTGCAGCCCCGGCACTGCCACCCGAGCGCGACGGAGGAGCACGGCGTCGACTGCGCGGGTATTCGTGCGCACAGGCTTCCCGCGGTGAGGTCCGGCGTAGGCTTGCACAGTGGAGGACGAGCAATTCCAAATGCCTAAAAGATGTTTCAAACGTGTTTTGAACATGTAAACAACATGTTTAGAACCTTTTTCGACCTTTGAGACACATTTTAAATGCAACGATAGGATTGTTAGAGTGTCCATTGTCATGGAATCCACAAGCGTAAGCTTCCCGCGGTGAGGTCGGGCGTAGGCGTCTTCTTCTCCACGCGGTGTGCCACGCCAGAGGCCCGCGCAAGCCGCGGACGAAGGCCGCTGCGTCGTCGTGCGCGAGTCCCGTTTCCTTTCATCGCTCACCTCTTGCTGGCCCTGTGCTCACGACCCCCCTCGGCCTTCCTGCGCCTGCGCCCTCCACTGCCGCTCATTTTTTTCGCTCGTCCTGCCGCGTCCCCGGCCGCCTCTGGGCCCTCGGGCCCAGCGATTCGTAAGGAGCATTGGTACAACCCTGCCCGAAGGGGAAGGATTGGCATGGACAAGTTGATGCGCGAATTCGCGGTCGCCCAGAGGGCTGGTGGATTTTTTTCGCTGGCCCTGCCGCCAACTGTGTCCGACTGCCCCCAACTCTGGTGATTGCCCACCATGCCCCTGTCGTTATCGGTGGCCACCTGCCGATCACTCTCCTGCTTGAACCCCACTCCTTCGGTGGGTAATCTTCGTTGCGACGAGATCGCTGAGGTCGAGGGGTGCCCCCTCTCTTCCTTCACTTGCCGGGATGGGTCGACTTTGCGCGCGTGGCTGTCTGCCCTTACAGGAGATGAAAAAGACGGAGAGTAAGACCCCTGTTCAGGACGAGAAGGCGGCGGAGATGGAGGAAGAGATCATGAAGGGCATGGCCGATGCCGCGCCCCAGGTCGAGAGCAAGCCCGCTGCTCAGGATAAGACGGCGGCGGAGATGGAGGCAGAGATCATGAAGGACATGGCCGTTGCCAGTCCCAAGGTCGAGAGCAAGACCGCTGTTCATGACGAGACGGCGGCGGAGATGGAGGCAGAGATCATGAAGAACACGGCCGATGCCGCGCCCCAGGTCGAGAGCAAGCCCGCGGTTCAGGACGAGACTGCGGCGGAGATGGAGGCAGAGATCATGAAGAGCACGGCCGATGCCGCGTCCCAGGTCGAGAGCAAGCCCGCTGCTCAGGATAAGACGGCGGCGGAGATGGAGGCAGAGATCATGAAGGACATGACCGTTGCGACGCCCCAGGTCGAGAGCAAGCCCGCAGTTCAGGATGAGACGGCGGCGGAGATGGAGGCAGAGATCATGAAGGACATGGCCGTTGCCAGTCCCAAGGTCGAGAGCAAGACCGGTGTTGCCGCTGCCTACAACTGCCAAGGGGACTAAAATCAAGGTCTATGAAGGCGAATGCTTCGTATTAATCTTGGGGGACTGCTTATGGGGGTTCGTTTTGCCGGGTTGCGGCGTTCGATTCTTGCTCTGGGCACACGGTGTTTCTCCCCGACCCTGCCGAGATTTTTAGGCACTCCTCGAGAGGACAGTCGAGACAGGACAGGGGCGTTTGCGTGGACAGCGTAAGATGGGGGCTTCGTGAGGAAGCGATGCCAGGTTGGCACGAGGTGGGCCCAGTCTTTGGTTGGCCCCCCTCTCCTTGGCGGGCAAGTGTTGATTATGCATTTGCGTTAGCACGCCCACAAACGCATGCATGACATGCATTCATCAATGTACGTTTTACACACACATATATATGTATATATATATATATGTATGTATATATATGTGTACATATATATATATATATATATATATATATATATTCACATATATCGCCGCACCGGGCCCGGGGGCCCCAGAGCCGCAGCCTCGACCGCAAATGGGGGGACGTCGGGCCCAGCCCGCTCCCCGGCGGGCCCCAGGTCGGCCCCCGGAGCGCCCAGACGGCCGTCCAGGCGGCCCCAGGCCGCCCAGAGCAACCCTGAAGACAACCTCCAGCGGTCTCCGGCGGCTCAAGAGGCGTCTCGAACCGCCCCAGACGCCTCCAAGACGCTCGAAGTCCCCTCCAAGAGATCCCCCCAGACGGCCCCGGGAAGCAAAAATAGCCCCGTTCCCTTCGTAAAACGTACGTTTTTACCATATTCTATTTTTTGGCCTTCGTACCGTCCTTTACGACCTCAGACTCTCCCTAAACCGCCCCAAGACAGCCCACGAAGCCCACAAGAGAGCCCCAAGACGGCCTCAAGAGGGGCCCAGGGCAGTCCAAGGGGCCCCAAGAGGGGCCCAAGACGGGAAACCCAACTGAACCTTCCAGCCCCCCCGCCTCAGGAGGCCCCCAAGAGGCCCCTAAGAGACCCCCAAGAGGCCCGAAGAGGCCCTCAAGACGCTCGCGGCAGGCCCCAAAGGGCCTCCAGAGGCACCCCAAGAGGCTTCCAGGAGACCCCCCGAGGTTCCCAGGAAGCCCCCAGGAGACCCCCAAGAGGGCCCCAACGGGATTCTCAGAGGCTTCCCCAGAAACCTTCATGTACGTCTACGGGCGGCCTGCGGTCCAAAAACCTGAGACCGTTCTTGGGACGCCGCCTGATTGGCACAGGTTTTCTTTGTCTCTGTCAATGGGTGGAGCGGCAGCGACCCTTCTCTCTGGGGCCGACTTTTCAGCACCCTGAGACCCCCAAGGACCCCCAAGAGGCCCGAAGAGGCCCCCAAGACGCCCGCGGCAGGCCCCAAAGGGCGTCTAGAGGCCCCCCAAGAGGCTTCCAAGAGGCCCCCCCGAGGTTCCCAGGAAGCCCCCAGGAGACCCCCAAGAGGGCCCCAACGGGCTTCTGACAGGCTTCCCCAAAAACCTCCATGTACGTCTACATGCGGCCTCCGGTCCAAAACCCTGGGACCGTTCCTGGGACGCCGCCTGATTGGCACAGATTTTCTTTGTCTCTGTCAATGGGTGGAGCGGCAGCGACTCTTCTCTCTGGGGCCGACTTTTCAGCACCCTGTGGGGCAAGATCCGTTTGAGGTGTGCGCCGTTTTATGCGGGAGTACGCTATGCGAATCCTTCCTGTGGCGCCGTACGTGGAATTCTCAGGGGGGCACGTTCCATGCGAAGGGTGTAGCGACTTGGGCGGAGGCCGCCACGCGAACTTTGACTCTGGCACTGTACGTGAACATCCCAGGGGGCCACGACCCGTGTCAGCGGCGTTCCGCAATTGCCAGGGTGACGCTATGTGAATTTTGAGCCGTCTTAAGACCGACACCAGACAGCACGAAGACTCCGTGCCCCTCGACTGGCCTGCGCTAGAACCTAAGCGCGCGCGAAGCGCGCGCGTGGTTATAGTGTGTATATATATACATATATATATATATGTGCACCCGCGCATCTGTACACTGACACGCATACACCCACACACACCTTCATGTACATACATACACATGTATGTATGTGTATATATATGCATCTATGTTTAGGCATACATCTATATATGTTTATGCATGTGTAGATGTATGATATCTGTGTAAATGGACATATACATGCAGGTTTATATGAATATGTATGTGTATGTGTATATGTTCATGCCTATGCCAATGTCAGTGTCAATGTCTATGTCTCTGCCTATGTATATGTCAATAACCAGATCTATGTATATGTATATACGTATGTGTATGTTTATATGTAAACGTAGTTGTAGACGTACTTGTATATGTGTATATGTGCATTTGTAGGTTGTTGGTTTTATCTATGCGTATGTGTATATATGTATGCCTGCATTTAAGCAAGTAAGCATGTGTGTTTGCATGCATGCATGCATGCATCTATGTGTGTAGGTGTACATGTATGTGCATGTGTGTATGTACGTATGCATGTCTGTAGATCTGTATGTCTGCACGCATGTATAAATCTAATCGTGTATGTATGCATGCATGTGCGCATGTCATGCATGTATCAATGTATGTATGTGTGTATGCTTGTATGTCTGTATGAATATATGTATTGCACGTATGCATGTATGCATGCATGCATGCATGTCTGTCTGTCTGTCTGTCTGTCTGTCTGTCTGTCGGATATATATATATATATATATACACATACATACATGCACACCAGGGGGCGAGACCCCCTGGCCTGGCCCAGGGACCACGGGGGGCATGGTGGGACAGGGCTTCCTGGAACGCTCACAGACGGCCCAAGGCAGTCTGGAAACGTGCTGGAAGGGCCCCAAGAGGCCTCCCAGACGGTCCAGTGGAGCTCAGAATCACCGAAGCATCGCCCCAAGACGCCCAAGATGGCCCCGAAGCGGCCTAAGAATGCTCTAAGACGCTTCAAGAGGCGTCCAACATGCCTACCAAAATGCCCCCAAGAGGGCAACATTTTCAAATTTCATTGGGGAAACGTGCATCTTTATCAAAAGTACGTTTTCGCTTGTCCGACGCTCCAAAACAGCCCAAGAAGCCCCGACGACCGACGCCCGAGCAATTGTTTCAAAACGGGTCAAGTGGCCCCGAAGATGTCCTAAGAAGGCTCCATGATTCGCCCCGAGAGGGCCCCAAGAGGCCAACACTGTTTCACTCCCGAGGGAAACGAACAGCGTCCAGAACTGCCCAAGAGGCCCTACAGATCGCCCTACGATGGCCCAAGAAGTTTCCAAGAGGACCCCAGGACGGCCCAAGAGAGCCCCGAGACGGTCCAAGAGGCGTCTAAGACGGTCCACGACGGCCTCAAGAGGAGTTCAAGAGGGGGAATTCCAATTGACGTTTCGAGCTATCCGCCACCAGTGGAACCCCCAGGCTGCAGCAGGGCCCCAAGGCCCCCCAAAAAGAGGTCCCAAGAGGCCTCCACAGTGCCCACATGAGGCCACACGAATCTTCCAAACTCGCTTCACGAGGCGCCCGAGGGGCATGCCAACAGACCTCGAAGTACAGGTATCCAAGAATCATCTGGCCCAAAAGTCAGGCACATTAGCGGTACGGGCCGATGGCCATCGATACGCAAGCAATTGGTTTGGCGACGTATCCCTCCCTATGCAGTCATGTGCAGTGCAGGGCGCGGGTCTCTCTTCATAGACTGCACGCCGCGGGGCAATGCGGAAAGATGGCTGCCGCCAGGCACGCGTGCACGGGCGCGCTGATTTCCTCGTGGGGCACGACCCGCGTGAAGGGTCGCGCGAACACGACCACTGAGGCCACAGGTGGACCTCCTCCGGGCACGCCCCGTGCGATGCATGTTCGAAATGGGCGCGGGGACGCCATGCGAAGCTGCCATTAGTGCCAAAGGTGGAGCTTCTGGTTCATGGTTCGCGCGACAGGTGTGCCGACACGGGCGGGGAGGTCGTTGTAGGAACCTTGCCTCTGGGCCTTCAGGTGGTGCTCTTTGTGGGCACGATCCGCGTGATGGGGTGTGCCGCCTTGGCCTGGGGGTGGGCGCAGTGCGAACCCTGCCTCTGGGGCCGTGGGTGTAGATCCCTGGGGGCCACGATCCGTGTGAGAGGTGTGCCGAAGTAGGCGGGAGGACGGGATGCGAATATTGCCTTTGGGGCCGTCCGTGGAACTCCTTTGCGCGCCACGATCCGTGTGAGAGGTGTGCCGAAGTGAGCGGGGCGATTGAAGCTCACTTTTGGTGCCGCAAATGCGTGAACTTACGGGGCACGATCCGCGTGAGAGGCGTGCCACTATGCGAGCCTCGTTTTTGGGGACGTAGGCGGATCTCCCTGTGGGGCGCGATCCCTGTGAGGTGTGTGCCAGCATGGGCAGGGGGACCCAGGTGGAGCACCCTAAGGTGCACGATCCGTGTGACAATATATGTCCTCCGATGCCGAACGCTTTGGACTACACTTGGAGCTTGCTAGATCCAAATCGCGCGCGAAGTGCGCGCGTGGTTCT